ATTGAGGAGGGCACATTCTGCATGGAGCACTGGGTGTTATGCACAGACAATGAATCATGGAACACTTCATCTAAAACTAATGACGTAATGTATGGGGATTAACATAAGAATAAAAAAAAAATAAACTTCTATCGCTTTACTCAAAAAAAAAAAAAAAAGCCTAGGAGACATAAAGTACTACTTATGAGAGAGCTAACCATCATTGTCAATACAAAACGAAGTGATAACTAGTAATCACAATAACGTCCTGAATTCATGGAACTCTTTACAATATGCCAACAACGGTGTGGGGTAAGCAGAAACTACAGAAATGAAGAGTTATTTGTAGAAATTAACACAGCAAAGATTTAATGGACGGCAGTGGACATCCACTCAGTCGTTCCCTTATTAAGTCCCTTATTAAGTATCCTCTCTCCTGGGCGGTGCAAGCACGGCACTTGTCATAAGTTAGGACCACTTTTTATTTTTATTATTATTTTTTACCACTTTTTAAATGTGCTTCTACATCTATCGCTCACCGTTATTCGACCAGTAACGCCTTTCTGCAACCCCAATTCCGAAAACCGCCTACCTTCCGCACCTCACTCGCCTGGAAGGTCCCGCCTTTCGTCCTCAGGCCCCGTGGGCTTGCGTGCTGACGCACAGCGAGCGTGCTGACGTCTCCGCGCACCGCCCCCGCAGGCTCCGCCCTCCGGCTTGAACCGAAGTCCCGCGGCGCGGAGGACGGTGAGGCGGGAGCCAACGGCCGGCGCCAGGGGGTCGGTGCGGGAGCGCGGCGTCCAGGGGCTGGCCTAGCTGGGGCCGGAGACCCAGCGTCTTCGGGCCGAGCCGCCGATCCTCCGCAGCCGCGGGATCGCAGCCGCCTGGCCGTGGGCGACCCGGCACTCCCGGGCGCCAGCGGGCATTGTCTCCGCCGCCGGCGTCCCCCGAGGCCCCCCCCCCTCCCCGGGCCATGATCGACTCGGTGAAACTGCGCCGCGACAGCGCGGCCGACTTTTTCTCGCACTACGAGTACCTGTGCGCGCTGCAGGACTCGGTGCCGCTGCCCTCGGTGCGCGCTTGCCTGCGGGAGGGCGTGCTGGACTTCAATGCCGACCGCCTGCGCATCGTGGACTGGGCGCCGCTCTTGAGCACCCTCAAGATTAATAAAGATCTGCCCCTAGTCTCTATCAAGAGCTTCTTCCAGCCGTGGCTTGGCGAAACAGGTTTGTAGTTCCCGCTTCCAGGGGCCCTCGTGTCGGTGCGGCGAAGCGGGATTTCAGATGCTGTCCGGGGGAGGCCGGACGCCAGCCCGGGTGGCGGGTGCTGTGGTTTGGGTGCAGCACACCGGGCGTGCGGCCTAGGACTCTCACCAGCTCAGTGGCCCGGGGCGAGTCACTGCAGGCCCGTAGGTCTCAGCGTTCCCATCCGGGATATGGGCTAACAGGGCGCGCTGTGTGTGGTGATTGCAAAGATGCAGCGAGTTACTGCTTGTAAAGCACCTGGCGCAGTTTGGGACGTCATTAAGCATTCGACAGATGTTACCTGGTTTTCTGAATGATTTAGCCTGACACAACACAGCGATTAGGAAAAGTGATACATCGCAGCCTTTTGCTTCATTTCGTTTTGAATAAGACATAGCTCTGTAGGGGGGAAAAATTGTTTTTGTTTTGTTTTTAGTGACATCTTATAGTGGATAGAGCACAGATGTGAAGGGAGACTAGGGTTTGAATTCCAGGACTTACACTGTGTGGCCTGAGCAAGTTACTTTTGAACTACAATCCCCACACTTGTAAAGTGTTATTAAAACTACTTTTATCATGGGTTCTTAGAATTAAGCAGGTTGTTTAAGAGTACACTTAACGGTGGTGAGCATTGAGTAATGTGTAGAACTGTTGAATCACTGTATGGTACGTCTGAAACTAATACAACACTGTATGTTAACTACACTGGAATTTTTAAAAATAAATAATTTTTACAAAAAAAAATTACGCAGGTTGTTTGTATAAAGTTTCCGGGCACTCAAATGAGCTCAGCCAGCACCAAACACCGCTGGAGACAAGGCTCCTGGCCTAGAGCATCTCCTCTTCTACTGGGGGAGGCAACAAGTAAACCGAAGCACAGTAGTCAGTGTTCTGGAAGAGGTGACCTCTGGTGCTGCAAAGCAGAGAACACTGAAGGGAATGTTCAGGGAAGGCCTCTTGGAGGAGGTGCCTCCTTTCTGAGGATGTGTGGAAGCTGCTCAGATGGCAGGAGGGAGCTGCTTGTGCGAAAGTTTGAGAACTATAAGAAAATATGGCAAAACTAAAGTGCAGGACTAGAACTTAGGGTTTAAAGAAGTGAGAGCTGAGACTGGAAACCTGGTGGGGGCCACAAAGGGAGGGGCTTTGTTTGTCCTATCAAATGGTTGGATGTTTATCCCGAAGGTTGTGGGAGACACTTAAGGATGATGACATGGGCTTTTGATTTAGAAGCTTGCCCTGACCTAAATATGGAAGGCAGTTGATTGGGAGGAGGGTGAATTGTAATCCAAGAGCCCAAATTAAGGTATAGGAAGGGAGGACTGGATTTCAGAGATCAAAGAGACAATGGATGGGGCCTGGTGACCAGTTAGCAGAGGGGGGAGCATAAGCTTGGGTGACAATTTATAGCAGCACCTTTCTGTGAGGCACAGAGCACAGTAGGAGGGGATTGGGGTTGGGGAGAGAATCTCACTTCATTCTTAATGCTTTAAGAGGGCCCTGTGGGGCATCCAAACATGTCTGCTAGACATTTCGGGGCTGCAGGTGCAGATCTGGGCTTTATGGGGGAATGTTTGAAGGTATGGGAGAAACTGAGGTAACCCGCAGAGGAGATTTAGAAAATACTAAGCCTGAAAGATGTTTTTTGAAATGGACCCACTTGAGTATGTTTATAAGCTGAGACAGAGTAGCCAGCACACAAGGAGGATGTGAAGATCCAGGAGAGGAAATGACTACTGATTTTTTTTTTAAAAAAACCTGAACACTTGTCATGTGCCTGGCCCTTTTCTAGGTTCTAGGTTCTAGATTTTACGTTATCTGTTATCTCTTCTGTAAGGACATTCCAGTTTATCCCCTGGTGAAGAGAAGTCACATTATTCTCTACATCTCATGCAGGTGTAGGAATTTTTCCATACCTCTGAAGGGATTTGATTTATCCAAAGTAATAACTTAGAAATCAGAAGCAATTACAGTGGGGAGAGACCTCAAAGTCAAGGCCACTGTACTTAATCTTGCCTAATATTTCACATTGAATGTAATAAAAATGTATCATAGAGACCACTCTTCAGAATTCCTTCACTGAACCTTTGTTTTCTCTTGCATCCAGTGTGTCCAGGCTGTAGATTTCAACGGTTTGCTTATTTATCCTCACCAGCTTTTCTTTTTCTTTCTTTCTTTCTTTCTTTCTTTCTTTCTTTCTTTCTTTCTTTCTTTTTCTTTCTTTCTTTCTTTTTCTTTCCTTCCTTCCTTCCTTCCTTCCTTCCTTCCTTCCTTCCTTCCTTCCTTCCTCCCCTGCCCCTTCCTTCTTTCCTTTCTTTTTCTTTCTTTGGATTTTATTTATTTTAGAGATAGAGCATGAGCAGAGGGAGGGGCAGAGGAAGAGAAAGAATCTCAAGCGACTCTGCACTGAGCTCGACACAGGGCTCAATCTCAGGACCCTGAGATCAGGACCTGAGCCGAAATCAAGAGTCCATCGCTTAACCAGCTGCACCACCCAGGCGCTCCACCTCGCCAGCTTCTAGCTGGTGTTGCTGCCTCTGAGCTCAGTTTCCCTCAGTTCATCTGCTTACTGGGCTTCGGTGGTCTTTTTTATTATCATTATTTATTTGAGAGAGAGAGAGAGCACAGGGGTTGTAGCAGAGGGAGAGGGACAGGCAGACTCCACGCTGAGCATGGAGCCCAACATGGGGCTCGATCCCAGGACCCTGAGATCCTGACCTGAGCCGAAACCAAGAATCAACGCTTTAACCGACTGAGCCAGCCAGGCGCCCCTCCAGTAATCTTCTAAAATGAAAATACATGCTTAAAATAAGGCTTGTAATGGCTCGCCAGCACAGGATTATTGTGTATTGGCTGCACAGTTTGTGTTCTGCATGGAAGTGTGAAATCTGAGCTGTGCTCTGCCAAGCCCCAAGGGGCTAATTGGCCCTGAGGAAGAGGTGCTTTTTCCAATCTGTCTGATTTAGGTACCTTTTTCTAACCTGCAGAGGCACCCTTACTGTGCCAGTGGTAGCCCCTGTCCTCATCAGCTTTGGGGTCAAAGCCATAGGCTTTTTATCCGAGGCTTGCTTTGGCCAACCTCTGTATTGTCCCCTCCCCCCGGACCCTAGCCTTTAGTCGTCCCCATCTGCAGTATTTTCCGTGGCCAGCAGGTGTCAGGCTTGGATGTCTTTGCACAGGTCTCTGCAGTTAAGCACCTCCCACTCAGACTATGTGGTCATTCTCTTTCTAGATTCAACTTCAGGGTTATCTTGAAGCCATCACTTAGATATAATGTTGTGCTTTCATAGGAACTTCTATGCACATAGTTTATATTTCTGTATCTCATGTGGTTGACGTTTTGAGCTTACATGTGTTCCTCTGTAAAGAGGGTTTTAAGGGGCACCTGGGTGGCTCAGATGGTTAAGTGTCTGCCTTTGGCTCAGGTTGTGATCCCAGGGTTCTGCGATCAAGCCCCGCATCGGGCTCCCTGCTTGGCAGGGAGCCTGCTTCCCCTTCTCCTTCTGCTCCCCCTACTTGTGCTCTCTCGCTCTCTCTGTCAAATAAATAAATAAAATCTTTAAAAAAAAAAAGTAAAGAATTTAAGGATGGGTCATCTCTGCCTTAGCACAGAGCAAATGCTTTCTCATGGTGATAATACATATTTTACAATAATTTTGCTTTAGGTTCTGACAGAAGTAAAGTTTGCAGAAGTCGTGTTCCTGCGATAAGAAACAAAGATGTGACCTTCCAGTTATGTAAAGCTCTCAAATGCTGTTTAAGTGTATCAAGTGCTCTAAAGAACCTGGAGCTAAATGGACTAGTGCTGAGAGAGAGAGATTTAACTATTTTGACAAAGGTAAGGCTTCTCCAATGTGTCCTGCAAACATTGGATATTTGCTTTTGGGGGAAACTAAATCCATAAAAATTTTAACTTTTTCTCCCCATTAAAGGGATTGAATAAATCCACCTCTCTGGTGCACCTGTCTCTTGCAAATTGCCCAATTGGAGATGGAGGTTTGGAAAGTAAGTTTCAGTCTTGTTTACATCTCCTCCCACCAGACTGATCTCACTCTCCCTGCATGCATGTTAATTGCTGTCTGTACCTTTTCTACTTGGATTGTCTCCTGTGCCTGCTCAAACCTTGGTCTCTTCTCACCTGTACACTGAAAGTTTGTCATGCTGGGTACTCTCCGAACCAGTTCCACTAAGATTATGTTAAGCCACACAAATATATACTATATTGTATTTTCTCTTTTTTTATTTTGTTCATCTTTTTCTTATCAAGGAATAATTATGGGAAGGGAAATAGCAAAATCTAAAGACAAAAAAAATCATTATCCTTAAAGAGTTGAAACATCTATATGCAGTCATAATTACATAATGCACTGTGTTATGTACTAAAATAGGAAATCTATGCAAAGTGCTATGGGAGCATATAAAAGGCCAGCAAATTCAGTGGCGTTAGTGGGGGCGTATCATGGAGGTAATCACAGAGAAAGTGATTGTTGATTGGGGTCCTGAAGAATTAGTGTGTTCACTGTGTCCACTAGCGGTCTGGGGTGGTAAGGAAGGCTGCATTTTAATTTGAGGGAACTAAGAGTTTGACATGTTCTGTCTTCTATTGCTATAGTATATTGCATAGCACCTAATAAAACTCTGGGTTTATAGTTCACATTTAAATTAACTGATAACTGAGTTTGGGTTATATCATTGGAAGTGAAAATAGGAAGAGTTTTAGGCTTTTTAGGTTTTTCTTTTTCTTATGTCTCAAAAGGTATATAGTACTTTACTGCCTAGTTGGGAATAAAGTTTGCCAGGTTCGGAGTATTCAATTTTAGCATCTAAATAGAATTAAACTGTTGCTGTAAACTGGAATAACCAATTTATTACTGACATATTTTAGAGTGCACCAATCCATCAGTTGCCTGGGAAGATTGTAGGTAGTGATTTAAAGACTACAGCTATAAACCTCCAGTAGGCTCAGGAAAAGCAAATAAGTCAAGATTGACCAGACTGTATGGGCTCTTCATCTTATTGTGTGTGTGGTTTTTTTTTTTTTCTTTTAGTTATTTGTCAAGGTATAAAGAACTCTATCACTCTTAAGACAGTAAACTTCACGGGGTGTAATCTGACATGGCAGGGAGCAGATCACATGGCCAAGATCTTAAAGGTGATTTTATGTTTAAACTTTCGTGAAAACATATTCTGTGATTGAAGCACATTAATATTTTGATACAAGATGGCAGATCTTTTTTGTCTTTTGATACATGTGATTGCAGTTTTAGTTTTGTTGAAAGAATATGACCAGTTTCCAGTTTAGGGTTCTACCATTTAGGAAAGGTAGTCCATTTAATCCTAGGAATAAGAGATCTAATGTATAATACATTATAAATAATACTTTCATGTATTTTTAGTTCTTGAAAACAGCCCATCACCTGGTGTTACAGTTTTTTTAAAATGTAGCCACGCCCATTTGCTTGCTTAGTGACTGGCTGTTTTCGTCCTACACCAGTGGAGTTAAGTAGTTGCAACAGAAACGTTATGGCCCACAAAGCTGAAAAATTTACTTTTGGGCCTGTACAGAGCAAGTCCATTGACCCCAGATATAGAAGACAGTCAAGAGCATGGATTCTGAAGCCAAATAACCTAGTTTCAAATTCCAGCTCACCAATTTCATAGCTTATGACCGTGGACACATTACTTAGCCTCTGTGCTTTATTATGAGGATTAAATGAACTAGTTTGTATAAAATAGTGCCTGGCACATAAGCACCATGGAAGTGTTTTGCTGGGATTTCCACTTGTTGCTTTTACAAGTTATTGTTAACAAAAAAAGAGCACCAATGATTTTCCATTTAGACTGGCATAGGAACTTTGAGTCTTTCGTTGCTCGAGCATGAATAAGATTTCTTTCTTTTAAAGTCAGTATTTCCTGTTACCAAAGTTTGTCTTACGAACATAGAGAAGTGAATATGTCTTTATGACTCTATCTGTGGTTAAAAATCAAACCATCAAGTTCCTGAGGCAGGTCAAACTGCCTTGGCATACTGCAGGTCTCTAAAGTTGGTGTGCGTACTCTAAAGTAGTGAGATCCATTGGGTTGGGGGAAGAAAATATTAGAACCTCTATATTTATTTTCGTAGCATTTAAAAAATAACTGTGTAGTTTATAATGTAGGTGAAGTATATGTGCAGAACTGAATGGATAACTTCGTGTATATAATTTATCAGTAAATAAGATACACGTTACAGAAGTTTACTTGCCTGATGCCCAAGCAAGTGTTCAGAAACCACTGGAGGACAGAATGATAGAACTTAGAGCCTCAGCAATAACAGAATTTAGAACCAGTTCCCTGACTTGGCAGATAAGGAAAATAAAATTTATAGAATGTAATTCATTGTCAAAGTATGTGTAACTAATCAACCACAGGTCACCCAGTGGCTAGAATCTAATCACTGGCAAATTAGAATCGGGGTCGCTGAGACTCTTGAGCTAGAATCTACTGCTCAGTCTCTCGGGTTGGTATGTGCGTGTAAATCTCTGACATGATAAGCCATCCTCAGTACGCATACCCTGCCACCTTATCCAAATGTCCTAATTTCATCCTGTTAAATATTTGAAGTATCAGACCATGCGAAGGCATGAAGAAATCTGGGCTGAGAGTCTTCGTTACAGGAGGCCTGATCTGGACTGTATGGCTGGTTTGAGGCGCATCACTTTGAACTGCAACACGCTCATTGGTGACCTGGGCGCAAGTGCTTTTGCAGAATCTCTCAGTGAGGATTTATGGCTTAGAGGTAAATTCTAAAATGGAAAATATTGAATTTTTAAACGTTAAATATGCTTAGCTTTTGGCTTGATACCACTGTCATGGAATTTTTTTTTTAAGCCTTATTTTTTCCAATACCTTTTATTGTGCTTTTAAGCTTCTCTAAGAGTTTTATATATTCTTTACAGAAAATATAGATTAACTAAACAAAATTACCCATAATCTTAATACCCATTTTGGTGTACTTTCAGTGTTTTATTTTTCTATAGATGTGTTTGTACACTTCAGAGACTAAAAAAGTGGATTCATGGTTCAATTACTATTTCATGCTCTTTTACTTAATGATGCATCATGTGGTATCCATTATATTGATGTGCAATAGTTTAATCATTCTTTGAAATTAGACACTTTGTACTTTTCTCTGTCAGGAACAATGTATAGTGAACACATCTCTGTGACCGTTGCATTAGTTCTATAGATTAAGTTACTAAAATGGAAGGACCTTATAATATGACATATTTTTTTTTTTTTAAAGATTTTATTTATTTATTTGAGAGACAGAGAGCATGAGAGGGAGGAGGGTCAGAGGGAGAAGCAGACTCCCTGCCGAGCAG